TATAATGTTCCAGAGACGATGTCACTTTTAGTTTTGACTCCAAAAGAATCCTAGGCTTTTTATTGGAAGGAGTATAGATTATAGTTATATTTCATTGTAAATTCATATTTTAAACAAATTATTGATTTAGGTTTGTGAGATCTCAATCTGCCAATCTCAAACCACCTACCGTAGCAACTATCAATATGAGGTTTTCTTTATAGATTATAAACATTCACAAAATATAGAAATTTTCTGAATGAGACAAATTATGTGTATTACAAAAGATGCACAAGAACAAATTTTGAAGTACAAAAAAAAAATACTTGTTCTCATTATATCAGTTGCTGTCTTTGAACTGTAGCATTTCTTTGACATATCTAATTCCAAAAGATATTTTGTTTCCTTACCAGGAGATCCATTCCAAACAAGTCACTAACTGATGGTATAGAAAGCTCATTTTTCATAAATTCAACATTTTCCCCTCTGACTGAATAATGCCTGTTTGCAACTTTTGTGAGCCTGCATTAACGCTATCAATATTACTAATTATTTCTTACTATAAAAACCTTTGTAATCCCAGCACTTTGGGAGCCCAAGGCGGGTGGATCACAAGGTCAGGAGTTCCAGACCAGCCTGGCCAATATGGTGAAACTAAAAATTTCGTCTCTACTAAAAATTAAAAAAAAAAAAAATCTAGCTGGGAGTGGTGGCATATGTGTAGTCCCAGCTACTTGGGAGGCTGAGGCAGGAGAATTGCTTGAACCCAGGAGGCAGAGGTTGCAGTGAGGCAAGATTGCACCACCATACTCCCGCCTGGGCAATAGAGGGAGACTCCGTCTCAAAAAATGCAAAACAAAACAAAACCCTTAAAGGCAAATCTAAGGATATTTATAGATGAAAAGCCAAGGAGTAGAATGTTTTTGCCTACTTCAAGGTAGTCAACCACATGAGTCTAATGCATTTGATTTGTAGTCAACATTTTAAAAATTTTCTGACTTATAATTTAATGAGATAGTTAACATGAAATCTTGCACTTTGCCATTTTAGCTTTACCTAAATTCTAGATTCTGAGAGCACTAGTTCTATGTGACATAATAGAAAATTTGAAGACTTCATTCTAAAAGAGGACCTGACATTCTGAAGCATAAGAAAATAGTGCCAGAAATGCTAATAGGATATAGCATTCCATGAAGCTGGGGAATATCACTCTCCTCACTCTTTCAGTGATAATCATATACTACAATTCTGACAGTTTTGGAATATGAATAGCAAATATAAGAAAGGAGTTACTATGTCAAGCTGCTTTCTAAAATTTATATTGAAATGTAAATTTCAGGAAAAGGCATTTCAATATTTTATCTTCTTTTAGAAAATCAAGTATTTAAAAAAGCAATTGAACATCTTGAAAGTATATATTGCACTCAAAAATACATTTTTCTTGTTTCTAAGGAAAAAAATAACATCACTTTCCTGAATTACTGCATTGTTTATAGAATGGGTTTGCTGATAATTAATTACATCAGGCAGTCCACAGAAAGGTAACTTATTTCACTCTTTGTGTCAGGAAAAATCTTCCCTCATGAATCATGTTTACAAGATGGTAGACTATTGAAATGCCAAGAGAACTCTGGGTAACAGTATATGTATGACTATGATCATGTTTTGTATAAGTTAACAGACATTTGGAATATCACAGAGTCTTTTTTTAAAAAAAAAAAAAAAAGTTTTTCTTTTTGGAGACAGGGTCTCACTTTGTTACTCAGGCTGAAGTGTAGTGGTGTGATCATAGCTCACTGCCTCCTGGAATTCCCGGGCTTAAGCAATCCTCTCACCTGAGCCTCCCAAGTACCTGGGACTACACGTGCCATACCTGGCTAATTTTTAAATTTTTTGTACAGATGGAGTTTCACCATCTTGCCCAGGTTGGTCTCTAACTCCTGGACTCAAGCGATCCTCTTACCTCGACCTTCACAACAGATTCTTAAGCAAATCTCTGAATATCTGAAGGGGCTTAGTTCTTTCAAATGCTGCTTTCATAGGACTTAAAGGAGTTCAAGTAAGAGGGAGATGATAACTTCTTCTCCCAGACTGGTGGTCTACTTTCTAGGATTCTAGAAATTCAAGGTCTCTGACATGTGACCATACAAACCTGTGTAAATTTTAGACCATAACACATAAATAAAAGATTTTTTCCCCTGTACCAGTTGTACTGTTGAAAATGGAGAAGTATTTGACCAGAAACAAAACATGACTGTACATATTTATTTTGTTTACTTTCCCAAGGAAAACTTTCTTAGAAGATGTCTCAAATGTTAGCATCTTTAAGAGAGAAAATTTGCAATTGCTGTATATAACATTAGTAAATATGAACCAACAATGTTCATACACATATCTAATATTACATTTATCTGTAACCTGATATTTCTCAACAACTGAAATGATAGTTTATACACTCATTGGCACCCCTAATTCTCCTGCTATTCATTTATTTAGCTATTGGTTTATTTTGATAAGAAGTGGGGTTTTTAACTTTTTAATTGAAATATTGCTTAAATTCTGAGAAATATCTAGTTTTTAAGTGCAGCTCAATGAATTTTTACAAAGTTAACATATCAGTGCAAAACTACATGAATCAGTATGGATAGTTTCCCTCATACCTCCTCCTAGACATTACCTCCCAAAGATTCCATTCTGATGCACTGATTTCTATCACCATTCCCTAATTTTGAAATTTATATAGATGAAATTAGAGAGTATGTTCTTTGTCCTGTCTGCCTTCTTTCACTCAACACTGTCTATGAGATTTGTGCATGCTGTTGCATATAGCTGTAGTTCATTCTCACTTGTTTATTTCTTTTGCTGTAGAACAGAAATCAGCAGGTTTAGCTCATGGGCTAAACCTGACCTGTCGCCTGTGTGATTAGAACACAGCCATGTCCATTCATTTACATATTGCCTATGGCTGTTTTCATGCTGCAAAATGGTAGAGTTTAGTCATGATAGAGACTATCTGGTCCCCAATACTTAATGTATTTTCTATGTGTCCCTTCACAGAAAGAGATTGCTGATTACCACTAATATTCTTGTATATATCTTTGTTTGCACAAAATTACATGCATTATTTTAATTATCTACATACAACTGCAAATTGCAATTGTTGGGTCATAGACTGAGAGAGAGAGAGAGAGTGAGTGTGTGTGTGTGTGTGTGTGTGTGTTAGTTTAGCTTTAATTGATTCTGCCAAAAAGTTTTCCAGAGTGACTATACCAATTTATCCTCCTAACCGCTGTGTACGAAAGTCCCACAAATAATTTAACACTCAATGATTACCTTAAGTAGAAGTTAGGCAAATGCATAATTCATCATTTGACTCAATAAAAACATTTTATGTAATAGCCTATAATGATGATCATGATTATCATTTAAGTCAACAAATCATCAGGTTGATGATGGTAGTAATAAAACAAGTACATGTTATTTGTTGATTACAGTGAGCATTAAAGAGTTGACGTTTGTTGCAGAAACTGAATTAAGTTACTCTTTGTTGAACACTTGAAAATAAATGTCCCACAAATGATCCTAATAAGTGCTTACTCACCCATGAGGGAACTATAAACAAAACCCTGGTTGATAAATAAAAACTGTTTTCTGTTGACCTAATTAATTTCCAGTTTCTCTTTCTCAACAAAATATACAATTAACTATATGTTACAGATCTAAAATTATAACATGAAAAGTTAAGGGAGGGAGGGCTGAATAGGAGGAACACAGAAGACGTTTAGGACAGTTAAAATATTTGGTATGATACTGTAATGGTAGATACATTTGTCCATAGAATATGCAACATCAAGAGTTAATCATGATGTAAACTGTAGACTTGGGATGATAATGATGTGTCAGTGAAGGTTCATTGGTTATAACAAATGGACCGCTCTGATGAGGGAAAGCTTGTGATGTGTGCTGTGGGGGGTATATGGGAGATTTCTTTACCTTCCTCTCAGTTTTGCTCTTAAAAAAGCAAAGACTTAAAAGACTTTAAAAATGATAGCTAAGGCATCATGTTTGGAAAAATCAGAGTCTAGACCCTTACTATGAAATCATATGGCCTAGTCTTTCTAAACTTAACCCTCACATGTTATTTTCATGGACTTTATACATACTTGCTCTAAGAATGAAACTGCAAAGTGTTTTCAATATGCCCTTTTTATCAGTTTCTCTCAGTGTTGGGTATGTGCAGGGGTGGATAAGAGGGCACCTTTAGCTAATATCAAAATTGAGTTGAATGAGAGAATTACAATTTTCCAAGAAAAAAATTTCAAGAAGTATTTTTGCTCCCAGGTGGTAAAATCATGCATATTTTTTATTTCCCTTTTTTTTGTCTTTTTATATTTTCTACATGTTCAATAAATTGTTCTAGGTTATTTTTCTGATTTCTAAGAGGACAAAGAGTGTTTCTTATTGTTTGTTTGCATTACTAAAACCTACGTCAAGGTTTTTATAACGTACTCCCATGGTGGCACCTGCATAAACAGCGAGATGGTTGTGATGACTGTGCCTTAAGGTCACCACTACACCAGTTGCTGCATCTTAGAGATGAGCCAGGACTTTTATTAAACCTCTCTCACAAAGTCACCTGAGCCCAAACAAATGGAATTTTTCAGATCAGCCATTCCTTTTGCAGAGGGCATGTGATCCAAAACTCCAGTGCCTGGAATCATAGATCAATATGCCACCCGTAGACATCCAGCCTGTGACATAGCACAGAAGTTGCAAAACAATATGAGTCAAGTAACTGAGGTCTGTGGTTCTGTGGCAAATGGAAGCCTTCCAGAACCAGCACACTATGAGTCTGTTGCACTAGGGATGGGTAAGAGATCATTGCACAAATAACATCAAATAATATGGAACAAAACACTGTGGAACATCCTGAGGTTCTCAGAATTGTAACATGTAACACAGGTGCACTAATGCACACACATGCATATGAACATGCACACATACACAGAGACACAACCTACCTCTGCCTCAGATATATCCTAAAGGTGTTACCAAGACGTGTTTTCAATTATGCCAGGAGAATTTGCAGCTTTGATTTAGCTAGAAAACAAACAAAAGGCGATTGCCCATTTCAGGTTCAAGATCTCTATTTTATTCCTTTCTTCTCAATTGGACCCAAAAGGACAGTTTAGTCGGAGGGAATAAAGGTACAGTTGTTTTGTGCAATCAGTTAGTTTACTTGCACTGTTCAGAGAAGAAACAGAGAAATGCTACATGACTCGGAGTGTCCTAAAGTCTGTCTCAAATATAGGAAGATCCTACGGATTCAAAACTCTATAAAGAACTACAAATAAAGTGTGATTTTCTGAAGATGTGTGGTTATATGTTTGTGTGTGTGTAGAACTTTAAGTGGTAGGAAAAAATTTGATATTAATCATCATATTTTTCCTGCATTTTACAGCTTTCCTACCATCAACATGTATTATTTTCATAATAGAAAAAAAAACATGAAAAAGAACCAACATTAAAAAACCAACTTTAAAAAGTTTAAAAAACATAGAAAGGAAAGGTGATTGGCAATCTCATCTGAAGAATACTTCCCTCCTCGGGGAATTCTTTTTATACTTGCTTTGTCTTTAGAGTGGCTTTTTTCTATTTTTAATGAAGGAGGCAACCTCTCCTTCTGCTTTTTTCTCTAAAAGGGGATAAAAAGCAATGGGGGAAAAGCGGAGAGCACTGTGTAGCTGAGGTCCAGTGAGCTCTAAAGAGGCCCTGAAAGGTTGTTCAGGGACATCATCCCATTATAGAACATTCCCGAGGACCAAGAGACAGGCGAGTCTTTGTTCAGGCTCTATCATCTAGTTCATTGTTCTCTCACTGGAAAATGAAATTTGTTGTGACCGTTTGCTTTTAAAATAAAAAGCTTTTTCTGAGTTCTTTTTTTTTTTTTTTTTTTTTTTTTTTTTTTGAGACGGAGTCTCGCTCTACCACCCAGGCTAGAGTGCTGTGGTGTGATCTCCACCTACCGTAACCTCCACCTCCTGGGTTCAAGTGACTCTCCTGCCTCAGCCTCCCAAGTAGCTAGGACTATGGGTGCACGCCACCACTCCTGGCTAATTTTTGTATTTTTAGTAAAGACAGGGTTTCACCATATTAGCCAGGCTGGTCTCAAACTTCTGACCTTGTGATCCACCTGCCTCAGCCTCCCAAAGTGCTGGGATTACAAGCATGAGACACTGCTCCCAGCCCTCTGAGTCCATTTTTAAAGTAAACCATCATACCGGAAGGAAACTCAATGGCTTCCCAAAAGTACTTAGTGTCTTTATTGCACCCATAATCGTTGTACCTCCAAAGAACAGTGTCAAGTAGCAATCATACATGAAGATTTCTGATGTACAATTATAAATTAATGATTTTAAAAGTTACTTTGTATATTTTGCTTATACTCTGAGGCTGGATAATCTAGAGCTTATATAATATTCCATAGCTATATGATCTGATAATGATGGATTTGTCCAATAAAAGTAGGTATTGAGTTCCAACAAAATAGGTGTGCTCTTCTAGGCACCAGAGAAACAGCAGTGAATAAAATAGACAAAACTTCTTCCCCAGGAGCTTAGATTCTAGTAGGATGTGGGGGTACAGTAAATTGACAGTAAACAATATAAATAACTAGATATAGCAGGCCAGGTACAGTGGCTCACGCCCGTAATCCCAACACTTTGGGAGGCCAAGGTGGGTGGATGATCACTTGAGGTCAGGAGTTTGAGACCAGCCTGGCCAACATGGCAAAACCCCATCTCTATTAAAAATACAAAATTAGCTGGGTGTGGTGGTGTGCACCTGTAATCCCAGCTACTGAAGAGGCTGAGGCAGGAGAATCACTTGAAACCGGGAGGTGGAGGTTACAGTGAGCCGAGATTGTACCACTGTACTACAGCCTGGGCAAAAAGAGCAAGACTCCATGTCAAAAATAAATAAGCAAGCTATTGCATTATTTTAGAAGATGGATGGACTATAAAAGAAATAAAGGAGGAGTATCTGTGAGGAATGGAGTAACGACGGTAGAGGTGGAAGTGAAGGTGCAGATTTGAGAAGTTAGGCAACGATCTGCTTGCTCAGGAGTAGCAGGATCTGCTCAGGATCTGCAGCAAGTGTCCTTGGTAGAAGGCACACCACCTGCCAAAGCCCTGGCGCAGGAGTGAGCCTGGAGAACCCAAGGAACAGAAGGGAACAAGTGTGGTTAAGCTGAGTGTATCTGTCTGTTCTCAAGCTGCTAATAAAGACATACCTGAGGCTGGGTAATTTATAAAGAAAAAGAGGTTTAATGGACTCACATTCCACATGGCTGAGGAGGCCTCACAATCATGGCAGAAAGCAAAAGGCATGTCTTACATGGTTGCAGGCAAGAGAGAACTTGTACAGGGAAACTCTCCTTTATAAAAACCATCAGATCTCATTAGACTTATTCACTATCATGAGAACAGCATGGGAAAGACCTGCCCCCATGACTTAGTTACCTCCCACTGGGTCCCACACATGGGATTATGGGAGCTACAGCTCAAGATGAGATTTGGGTGAAGACATAGCCAAACCATATCATCAAGGAATGAGGATTAGGAGAGGAGAGGTAATGGGAGGCAGAACTGGGGAGTCCTCATGAGGACTGTAGATTTATTCTGCATGAGATGAAGAGGTGGAGGCAGTTTTTGAATGCTGGTGTCACAGGATCTGACTTCCTTTTTAAAATACTGGATATCTTAAGTTGATTTTGAAAATAGCAAAATAAGGAAAATATGCCTGCAGTATATTGCCATTGTCCTTAAACGAGCATTGAAAGGATATGTTTAGGGAAATAACAACAGATTTAAAGCCATATGTTATATATATGCTCCAGAAAATCAATATGGTAATTAATGTTCATCTAACATAGAAAGTTCAACTAGAGGACGTATCACTTTAGGATCACTTTAGGAGTTAGGACTTAGAAAGGAAAGGTGATTGGCAATCTCATCCTTAAAAAACTTCTCTTCCTGGGGAGTTCTTTCTATGCTTGATTTATCTTTAGAGTGGCTTTTTTCTATTTTTAATGAAGGGAGCTACCTTTGCTTCTGTTTTTCTCTTTGATTCTTCACCTTTCTTAAAAAGTAGCTTGGTATCTTAGTTAATGGCTCACTCAGGAAACTAGTTTTACTAAAAAACAAAGGAAAGGGAAGCCTCTCCTTTTATCATGATCTTTAAAGTAGGTCTTTACAAGTGCTAGCAGAGTTAAGCAGGCCCCAGAATCTCGTTATGACAAAGCAGGGGCTCTGCACTCTTAGAAAGTTGTCCACTAACAACACTAGCGGTGCCATTGACACAGGCTGCCATGAGTAGCGCTCCCTAGAGTCGCAATGTGGCAGCCCTGGGCATGAGAGATTGGTTCATCATAGACATCAGGCTTTGGCCTCCCTAATGCCCGTTTTGTCTGAGAACCATGGACTGACCCAAATACCCTCTCTTCGATGTATTCAGTTATGAAGTGAGAATACCAGCAGTTCTTTACTCCCATCTCCCTCCAAGAAAAAAAATGGTGAGAATTTTTGAAGAACAGCACATGTATACAGACTTCATAAGGTAACTCAGTGAAAAGGAGACCCAAAACACAATCTATAATTGTCCACTCAATTTGGCCAACAATTATTGAGCATCTATTGTAATCCTAGAACTACACTTGTTAGTAAAGATATGAAGAATTTAGTGTGGCTCTTTCTCCTCTGTTCTTGTTCTCTAGCGTTATGCAGTCAGCCCTCTCTGCTCTGCAAGAGAGTAGAACAGGACTGGCCCTTTCCCTGCAGTGGCATTGTTTTAAAAACTCATGAATATTCAAGTACACACATCAGCCTGGGACCTGCATCTCCCCTCTGAGTTGTTTCATGCTCATCCTGGTCAAAACATAGATAGGCCCAGAAAAATCTATAATGGGTAGATTCAGTTGACATTCTAAAGGTCTGATTTTATGTCCTAGCAACTTACCCAGATTGTATACCATAATCTCTCTCTGTCTCAAATTCCCCATCCTTCAAACATGTCCAACAACCCTCTATGTAACCCCAACTTTAACTGCATTGCTTATGGGCTTCAATGAAATAATGTAATATTAATAAAGCACACAGAAAAAGAAAAAACTATGCCAATATTAGGCATGTAAAGGGTATGGTCACTTTCTATCAAGAATGCGTGGTAGTTGAGGGAACCAAATTTTTCTTTAGTGTGCCTTTAGTGAAAAATGACCAATTGAATAGAATTGCTATCACCAGAACTTCAGCTTTCAAAATACTAAGCTATTGCTATGAAGGAGACAGCCCTGAAATTGGTGACCTTGGATCAGGTGCAACAACCTATCTACTCTCAGGCACCAAAAGCAGACTTGTCAAGCAAATATCCCTGGTATTAATTTCCTGATAAATTCTTTAGGGTCTATGTCAGTAATTGTCTTTTGTAAGAATGAGGGATGCTTAATTTTGTAGGATACTAAATGGTTTGGCTTATCTGCTTTCTCCAGAATACATGCTGACACTGTAGGTAGGAAAGCTCATGGCAGAATGAATCCTGGTGTAAGGAGAAGACAAAAGAGGTCATGGGAGAAAGCACATCGTAGATATCTACAAGGGGCCAGTGCCACTTGGGCAGGACCTGAAGGGCAACCAAGGCTGTAAATCCCCAAGCCCAGGTAGCTGAGAACAGAGAAAGGCAATGACTCTTGTGGAAGCATCTCTTCATCTCCTCAGAAGATTCACAAGAGTATGGTGGCTTTTGAAGAAAGGCTTGCTTTCTGGAAACACTGAAACAACTTTAAATTCATATTGAAACAAATGACGCCAGCATCTCAAGTTAAAATAGTTCTGTTGGGAGAACTTTCTAGCCTTATGCAGAAAATTCAAACTGAACCTCTTCCTTATACTTTATGCCAAAATTAACTAAAGATAGATTAAAGACTTAAATGTAAAACCAAAAACTATAAAAACTCTAGAAGAACATCTACGCAATACCATTCAGGACATAGGCACGGGCAAAGATTTCATGATGAAAATGTCAAAAGCAATTGCAACAAAAGCAAA